TATGCCCGAGGCCACTAGAAGATCCAGGATTTAATTTTGGGGGGGACTTCAGCCCGAAAGCTTTTTTTTCATAAAAATAACGATAATTACTTTGGAAAAAAAGAAAGAAACAACTACCTATATGAAATGGTATTTAAGTGATTCCTAAAGTCCTTTTTAAATGTAATTACATGAACAACAATACTTTAAGAGATAATTTTTTTCCATAAAACATACTTATATTTTACCATTTGGGGGGAGGCTTCAGTCCCAAAGCCTCCTCCCCCCCCCAGTAGATATGCCCGTGCTCTAGGCCAGGATTGACCAGAAAAGATCAAAACTGCACTTCGTATTGAAATTGTACTTACAGGCTTGTGATTTTCGATATTTTATTTTTACTTTCCCTAACGTATATATGTAATATATAGTAAGAGTAAGTATTGCGTTCGTGAAAATTTTTGAACCTGAGTTTTCAACGGAAATACAAGTTTTGGGGTACTCTGAGTCTAAATAACCGAGTCCCGAAAAATTGTGTCTGTGTGTTTGTATGTTAGCAGTCTAGCTCAAAAACGAAAATTCCTACGAAACTGATATTACGTATTTAAGATAGATATATGCCTTGGATGTGACAGCAACCTTTTCCTTAAAATCGACTAATTGTCAATTTATATCAACGCTGAAACATATTTTTACAATTTTCTCAAAAACTGTTCTAACGATTTTGATTAAATTCGGTGTATCATTGTAAAATTAAGTGGTCTTTAATATCATTTAGGTCTTATGCCGGTTGATGTCACTTTACAGGGCTTGAATGCCCAATGTTCATATGCGTCTTCATCTAAAGTACCTTTAATATGATTTATTTTAAATAATTAACTATCTCTCATTATTAACAGTTATGAAAAAATTCTAAATATAACTTTTGAAAGAATTTGGTAACTGAAGAAACGGGAAAAAAATAATAATGCTTATCCAGGTCGAAAATGGGTCTTCGGAAATACTAGTCAGAAAGTATACGCATAATATATCGTTGGAAAGCGGAGAATTTTGGAAAAACAATATCTAATATAGAAATTTGTAGAAGGTAACGGAGAGTTGCAACAAATTATAATTAATAATTTTGAAAACTTATAATATTTAACGTAAATCACATGTTTTCAAGGAAATTAAATGAAATTTACTAATTAAATGTAAACTTTTAACATATTTTTTAAGTATTTAAAATCCATCTAATCAAGGCAATGACATTGGTTAAAAAACTATTTCATTGTACTTGTGTGAAAGAAAATGTAAACTATAAAATCATTTCATGTATAAAGCATATGTTTTATGAACAGCATCTATGTTCTGGAATAATCATATTTCCGAAATTATCCATAAATTGATTGCTATCCTCAAACAGTTGCTAAGATTCCGTCATTCCATAGCATAAAAGTTCCAATGTCCAGTGTACCAATACCTGACACCTCGCTCGAAACATTGAAATAATAAAATTTCAGGATCTCCTAGAACTCTATTTCAAATATTTTAAGTTTCTATATTTCTATATTTCTAACTATATTCAGGTTCCTGAAGGCAATATCTCCTAGGTGTATTCCTTTTACCGATGTTTTAAAATCAAAAAGCCTCCTTACGTCCTTGATTTTTTCGCTCCTTGAATACGAGATTCCAACTCACAAACCTTTATATTTCTTCTCATCGAACTTTTTCCTTCTAAAAATCCTTTATCGTGCTATCTTATTCTGGGATCCCTAACCCATTTCTATGTTTATTTTTCTATCTTTTTAACAATGTGTAAGAATAATGTTCTTTGATGTCGGTGTTACAAATGTATTATTATATTCGGTTTTAACATAATGTTATTTAATAAAATGTTATTACAGCAAGTAGGGATTTTTCTATTAATATTCCAAATTAATAAGCATATCGATTTTATTTATCTGTAACTCACCATTTTCATTTAATTATTAACGCTTATCTTAAAGTTTTATTTCATAATTTTAAAATTCAATTATTGTGTTAAGCCAGACAAATGAAACTGTGTTTATTGTTGTGTATTGTTTATTTTTAACATCACCATTATTTTTGGGAGACTCGGTATTTCAGAATAAAATTTACTTTTTTCCTTTATTATAGGAGTGACAGCAGATCTCAGGAGCTACGAAAATGTTTATATAAACAATGGTCCAATTTTTGGTAGAAAAGTAAGAAATATGGGATTTTTTAAGTGTCTCGTTTTTTGTTGAATTTGTAGCGATAACTGAAAAAATAGTTTTTCGTAATAAATACTTACTTTAAGTAATTTCCTATTGCTCCCGTAATAAACGAAACAAAAGAAACAATGATAAATTGTTATAACCGGTTGAAGAGAAAATTTGAGCGGATAAACTAAGCCAAGTTCTATTTTAAACAAATCATTAACTATTCGCAATTTTTTTTTATATAATACATCTCAGGTCATAAAATAACAAGAAATAAAAGTAATAATTTCTAAGAAATAACATTATTGAACCCTTTCACCTCCTCAATGCTTCAATTCATTTTTATTTTTATTTATTTCGACAACATTTCAAGCCAACTTTGCCCATTTTATTCGAACTTTTTAGATCATTATCTTTTCCTCACCTTCTTCAAAAGTTAATTTCATAAATATTTATGAAAAGTCCATTCAACAATTATAATAAAGATACTTTGGACACGTCTCGCTAGTTAAATTTATCTTTTTAAATTTCGTTCAAATGCTATACATTTTCGTCCTATATTTTTAATAGCCTTATGTTCACTCAACTAGTGAGACGTGTCCAAAGTATCTTTATTGTAATTGTTGAACGGACTGTTCATAAATATTTATGAAATTAACTTTTGAAGAAGTTATAAGAGGATAAGATAATGATGTATAAAGTTCGACTTGAAAATGGGCGAAGTTGGCCTGAAATATTGTCGAAATAAATTTTTAAAAAATTAATTGTAGCATTGAGAGGAGGTGAAAGGGTTCAATAATGTTATTTCCTTGAAATTATTAATTAATTAAAAATACCATTGGGAAATTTGAAGATTTAATTTAAAAAAAAGAAATAAAAGCTTTTCAGTAATTTATTGTAGTCATTATTGGTGAAAACAAGGGTAATTTTTTAGGTGAAAGGATATAAAATCACATAATGTTTGAAAACAACTTGAGGTGAATCTCATCTTTTCCCCTGATAAACCTCAACTTAATTAATAAGGACTTAAAGCTTATTAAACGTGGATTTTTTTTTCTCTAAAAATATGGTACCTGTACCATAGTTGGAGGCTGATTAGAAAAAAATCGCGAATATCTTTTTTTTTTTTAAACAGAACATAGCTTAGTTTATCTGCTCAAATGTCCTCTTTAAATGGTTTTAACAATAACAAATTCAACTTTCATTTGAAGTTAATGTTATGTAGTTTACAGAAAATATATTTTTAATTACTCAAATTGAATATTTTTTTTAGTTATGGCTACGCATTAAGCAAAAAACGTGACTTATTTAAAAAAAAACACAAAATTATATTTCATACTTTTTTTCTGAAAATCGTACCAATGTTTATATAAACGTTTTTGTAACTCTTAAGGTCTGATAGCCCTTCTATAAATAATTTCCTCTATTTACGGGACAGCCTGTATACAACTACATAGTTATTTTGTAAGCTTTATTGTGGTGATAATGTTTTTAAACTAATTTATTTTTTTCTTAATCTTACCTAATCAAGAAAAAAAAAATACAGGAAGAAATATTGGTAATAGATATGTCCTAGAAGTACCATTTCAAAGTCAACTCAGCAGCGGAAGCAATACGTGAAACAATAAGACCCTCATCTAGGCCGTTGTTTGGTTTTGGGCAAGGAGGAAAGAACTGTGGACCATTTTCTTTCAATTGGTTATAGGAGCCATGGGTAAAGGAGACGCTACAACCGAATCGAAACAACTCATTTCTCAAAGTATGTTTTTCATGGAAATGTACCAAAAGTAAAATTATTGCCAGGATTTAAAAAACAAAATAAAGGGGGAGGGAGTGTCCAACTTACAACGTACCGAAAATTTCTTTAATTATCTCCCTTAAGACAATACTTATATGAATATTCAAAAAATATTGCTCATATCCGTCCCTGAAAAAAAAGTTTGAATCACTACAATCCTTAAAAGGTGTCTTGGGTTCAGTACTTAGCTTTGAGGTACTGTTTCAAGATCAACGGTTGTGTATGGATGTAATCGGACCAGGATCATGCTCAACTTCCAAGATTTTCCTCTTAATTATTTAATTAAGGATTGCTCAGTTGATAGAGGCTGGGTGTGCCCCAGGGGAGTCTCTCGATTTCAGGATCGATCCACGGCTAATGTGACAGAATGAATAATTACCTGCCATTGCGGGGTTCGAACCTGTATTTTATCTTAACTGTTTACTATATCTTTTGTGTTTATATTAATTTTTCCATTTCAAATTTAGGTTATAATTGCTTGTTATAACGAGGCTCTATTTGGAAATAAAAGCAAAAGTTAAAGTGATTACAGATTTTATCGCCGTGATTATGGTCTAGTTTATGAATCGAACGATTAGGATTCATTTGTATAAAAAATAAAACATTGCCAATTTTCATTTAAAAAATGGACATCTATATTTTAAAGGTAAATATGACTGAATTTTAAAATTATATTAATATGACATCCTGCATGTAATTATTAAAGATTGCTTCCTATTCTATTCTATTCTTACTACGGAGAAATGGATCATAATTGTTTTAAATCGAAGCTGTACAACAAACATTTACTTTTTCTCAAATGTCTCTGACATGAAAATGATATTGCGATTTAAAATAAGGACACTCATTTTTTTATCCAGAAAAAATGGTCTCTTTATTTTCCTGTTTATTTCTTTAATTTATATTTGTTTGATTTTCATGAACTTATATTTATTACTCCAATGGCACTAAAGTTCATTTGTTTGGTCTGGTAAAATGATAAAGTGAGTTAAGTTCGGGCTAGTATAAGTACATAAATGAATTGATTTTAAAGATTTAAGCGCATATTGTGATTGTTTAAGTATTAAGCTCAGATCATTCGAAGAAACGCGTATGGCTCAATGAAAAAAATATATATATATTTTCTGTTTTGGGGAAACTTCAGCCCGAAACCTCCCTCCGTTTACTCTCCACGTAGGTTTTCCACGAAGCTCGGACCTTGGAGGAGTTCCGTTTTCGCCGGCACTGGTGCTGAACCAGATCCTTGGATTGAAAACAGAAGTTACAATTACTGCCAGGGAGATTTCAATAAGTTACCTCAGGGCGGGGAGGGGGCGTATAAAAAGGTAGGACTCCGGAGCGAAGGGAGTAGATACCATGAGGATCTCTTCGGCGGCTGTTCTTGTTCTGTTGGTGGCGCTCAACTCCTGCGGGGGGCAGCAGCTCGGTAGTATCGGTCCCCTCGACATACAGAAGATCCTCTCGGACAAGGTCTACGTCCAGCAGCAGCTCAACTGCGTCCTCGATCAGGGGCAGTGCGATGCCGTCGGCAACCAGCTCAGGCGTAAGTACCTATATTATCTGTAGTTAACTTATGGTGCAGATTAAATACAATTCTATTAATTAAAAATAAAATAAAATTCTAATTATCTGAAGCATAGGTGACACGCAATATATTATCAAAATAGTCTTTTCAATACTAACAATTAATGTCGATTCATAGTTTGCCTTAGCTTTAGAAATAGAAATAGAAAATAATTTTATTCTGAGACAAAGTCCCTTTAGAACAACAAAATAGAACATAATTAAAAGACTACATCTGACCAAAATAAAACAATAATAAAAAAAGAGAAAGTAAAGAAATTATTAGTTAAACAAGCTATATACAAAAAAAATAAATCTATGACAAAACACTTAAAACTATGTACAGTAGGAAAAATTATAATTATACATTTTTGAAAAATAAAATAATGAAAAATACATTGAGTTCTTGTTTAAAATGAGGTGTGTTTCTGCTAACAAAGGAAAGACAAAGCTGACAATATAAAATGTCAGAGTATTTAAATAATGAATAATATGTAGACTCATCACTGTCTGATTCTAGCTATAGGTACAGATTTAATTACATAAGAATAAAAAAACAAACAATAGATGCATTCAGTGGCATTAAGAGCAGTAAGATATTGTAATATTTCTAGTCAAGTTTACAGTATAGAATAGTACTATCTTTTGATAATGAATGATATAATAGAAATGTATAATATCAAAAGTTTAGCAAGCATCTGACTGTTTTTGGAATAGGAATTGGAATAGGAGGGTTTTGAATGTGGATATGGAGGGAGAATGTCGAATTTTGATAGGTTAGAGAATTCCAGAAATTGACAGCGCGAGCTATAAAGGAATTCTGAAATGAGGAAGATCTGTGAGAAGGGATGTAGAGGTCAGAAGGTCGAGATCTCTTGAGATCGAGAGATAGCTTTATTCTTTATAAGTCATCAGTTTGTCTCACTGGAAAATATCCCTCCAATCTAGGCAATTATTCACAGCTATCTTTGAACTTATATCAATCCATTATTGTACATGTTTAAGATTTAATTGTTTGGGGTAGAAGAGCTTTATTTTGTCACTCTCTCACTAACCAACAGTATTGAGGTCTATTACTGAGAGTATATAAGGCATGCCTTGATATTTCATTTTATTTATATACATATTAATAAGTTTCTTTTCATATTATCCGACACGTACAAAAGGATCATGAAGCCATTTTCCACCCTTTACATTTTCGATGAATTTTTAGTTCGTCGAAGACCATTATAGGTTAGGTTAGGTTACGAGTTGTCTCAGGCGATCAACAACTTGATTATTACGCCTTTGAGCTATGGTGTTTTTCTAACTTATCTTTCTGAATGTATAAAAAAAAATATATTTGGTTTTCATGTATTGCATTAATTATTATATTTTATAGTACAATTGTTTTTTCTTTTAAAAGCTTTATAATATTTTATATTGAATCTACTGAATCTTTTAATGCTAGTTCTCTACAACAGTATTTTGTTTTTTACAAAGGCTTGATGTAGTAATGTTCAATCTTTTATTATATACTTTATGATTAGCGGTTACTGGCAGGTATCGCAATATGACCGTATATATAGTATTACTTTAAATTTTAAAATCTATAGTTCGTGTTACAGAACAATTTTTATCAGTTTATAAAAATTCTCGCAATCGGGACGTTTTCAATCTGAGGACCGGCAAACTTTGTCTATTCAATTAGGTACTAAAAACTCGTAAAGACCCATTTTTTTTCTACTTGGATCGTACGATAATTTCTGCATTAAATCGAGAAAAAAGATGGTCTTCAAAAAAATATTGAGCCGTTTTGCATGACCTACAATCCCAAATTGTTAAAATAGCGTGTTTATGTAGGATAAACAGTCCAATATTTTTGTCGGCCACATTTTTCTCGATTTTGTGATCAAATTGTCTTACGATCCAAGTGGAAAGCAAAATTTACTGGGGTGGAGTTTTTAGTACCTAATTAAATAGACAACGTTTGCCACCCTCCGGATTAAAAACACTCCAATTCCAAGAGTTTTCGTAAATAAAATAGTTGTAAGTTACGATGGGATGAAACTATTTGCGAAATTTCAGGCGGATGTTAATAATTTCATAACAAAGGGTATGCAACACGACGGGCCACAGGAGGATCTATGAGAGGAGGAGGGGAGGGGGCTTTCGGGCTGAAGCCCTCCCCCAAAATGGTAAAATATGGTTTTCTAGAAAAAAATATTAAAAACTATCTCTTAAAGTATTATTGTTCGTGTAATTACATTTAATAGGGCTTCAAGAATCACTTAAACACCATTTCATATAGTTAAGTTAATTTCTTTCTTCTTTTTTACAAATTAATTATCATTATATATATATATGTGTGAAAAAAAAAAATTTTCGGGCTGAAATATACCAAAAAAAAAAACCCTGGATCCGCTAGTGCCACGGATTATTTCATGTGTGAAAAGTATCTCGTGGAAACCTTAGCATCTAATAGGCTTTCGGTATAGTTAAGGTTTATCTCGAAATCGATATATTTTTGGGCTTTAAAACACAGGACCTTTAGAAGAACTATACCGGATCTTGATGTCCGCGTCGAAATCATTAAAGCAGATTTTATTCCTTTCCGAGCCGTGTATTTTTTAAACCTCACAATTTTTTCCAGAGACGTTTACTGTAGATGTGTTAAGAAACTACGTTTCGAAATTAAAATTCGTTATTTATCCTTAAAATACCATTAGTTTGATAGCCCATTCATCAAAATCGATCGCTCTTGAGAGACGGAAAAATAAACCATTCTACCTTATTAGGTATAGTGTAGGTTATTACTAACTGAATTTATTGAATTTATGAATTTGAACAACATCGTTTAGAGTCCATCTGCCTGCTGTAAGCCAGTTCAACTTCGAATACTTCTCTTTATATTGGGACTCGACATTTAGGGTCATTTATACAGACAGTTCCTGTCCACCGGATCATAGGCTGCTTTAAAATCGACAAATAAGGTGTGCACATCCTAAGCCACTTTCCATCATTTTTTTAGTACTTTTTTAGGATGAAGATCTGGTCTAGCGTGCTTCTCCCTCTTTTGAATCCAGCTTGGTGGTCGCCTATTATATTTTCGTAATACGGATATATCCGATATAATCTAGATATACCCGGTTCAGTAGGATATTGGTCATTATCTTGTAGGCTACAGGAAGGAGAACTATGCCTCTGTGATTACTAAACTCATGTATGGAGCATTTCTTCAGTGAGCATAATACATGCCTGATATTAAACACCTCTTAATTTTTCATTGATATAATGAATTTAATCAAAATCGTTAGAGCTGCTTTTGATAAAATTTTAAAAATGTCTAAAATCGATAAAATTAAGTGGCACTGATTTGCTGATTTTAGCGAAAATGTTGCTGCAACATCCCAAGCACATACCTACCTTAAACGGCTTATCCTTTTGAATCTAGACTATAGAGACAGACACACACGCACCATTTTACGAATTTTTTTTATTTGGACTGAGTAGTCCTCAAAATATGTATTTCCATTGATATCTCTGATTCGAATTTTTTCTCAATCGCAATACTTTCTGTTACTGTGAATTTCATATGTAATAGTTAATGGTCGACAAGTGATTGAACGAAAACCAGTTTTTTTAATTGAGCTTGGAATCCGTAACCGTTAACATTATTATCCAGTTCCTTTTATCAAGAGAATTTGATTTGACATTTCTGGTAAACTTTATTTATTGACCCAAAATTAATATTTACTTATCAAATGTTTTAATTTAGAAGAAAGTAAAAAAATATTGGGAACTACAATTCTCATACAACCTTAACAGGTTACTGATGGAGGCGGATTTGCTCAGTGGATAAGACATTGACATTTTCTAAGTCTCGGATTCGAATCCGGCTAAAGCAAATATTTATTTTATTCTACTTCATAAGCCTTAGATTGACCTCTGGGATCTGGAGACCTTCCTGAGGTGTACCTTTATATATATATATATATATATTTTTTTTTTCTTGTCCTCTCCTTTCGGCTAAACTGTTTTTTTTTCTGGCCAGGGGAGAGGAGGAGGTATTAAAGTAGCAGGAGGCGAAGTCGTGATTATTTTATCTTGTTGTCTTCAGCTTATGAGGTTGGCAGAAAATGCTTGTTTTCCACATGCCTAAGATGACCACCTAAGACCCTTCATGTGTTATCCTGGTACAGATTTAAATGGTTTTAATTAACACAAACTCTATTTGCATTTGAAGAAAATTTTGTCAAATTTACTATGAAGCAATTGTTCAATACCTAAATTAAATATTTTTTTAGTTATTTCTTTTTATTCAACAAAAAACAACGAATTTCCTTCTTTGGAAAATCACATCATGATTTATAAAGCTTTTTTGTTGCACTTCAGATCTACTTTCACCCCTTTAAATATTCCCCATCTACTTGTAAAACACCTTATATATTCAAATGATGAAAAGTTTCTGTGTTGGTATATTAATTTTCAATATAAATGCCAGTTTAATTTTACTTAATAATTTGTTTACTAAACATATTATTTCCTTTCCTGATATTTATTATATACCAAACAAGTTTTTTTAAACAGTTTATTTATAGTAGTTATAAGTAAGTTGGTTTTTACCAAATGAAAAAAAAAAAACATTTATAAAATTGAATAATTTCAAACTTATAGAGTACATTTATAATTAATTATAAATAAAATAAACATAAATCTTATTTACAAGATTATTGAAATTAATAATCACACTGGAGTAGTTCTGATGAATATAATCAGACAAAATAGTTACTGTGTCTTTATTTGGGCCCGTTGTTCTTACTATTCATCATATCTAAAATCAAGAACATCAACAAAATATAGAAATGTATTTCGATAAATTGGATATATTTTACTAATTATGGATTTCATTTGTTACTCTAGGTGTGATACCTGAAGTCCTTGAAAGGAATTGTAGATTTTGTACTCCTCAGCAAGCACAGAATGCTCGGAATGTCGTCAATTACATCAGCCAAAACTACCCCGATGAATGGTCTCAGATTCAAAGGAGGTTCTCACGTCAGTAAGGACAGATATTTAAAATTATGGTTAATATATCTAAACCTTATTACCTGTTACATATTTGTTAAAAGTAAAGGATAATTGTGTGTAATTAGAATTTAATTTTCAATAAATGACTAGTCTAATATTTTTTAATGTAACATTGTGACAATAATTTGCATTTAATAAATGTTTCATCTAAAATAACAACATTGTTGCTTAGAATATATCATATTTTAGTTAATATTGAACTGTGGATCATAATTTCTTTTTTTTTTTTTTTTTTTTTTGAAAATCATACCTAAGAATCATTACATTACAAACTTAAATAAAAAAAAGTCAAGGTTGTGAGCAGTCAATAAGAAATATTTAATAATTGTTATATTGTACAATTTCGAGATAGTTTTTAAACTAGTCTTATACATATCCTTTTTGGAGTAAATTAAAAAAATTACTGCATATTAAATAAAGAATATCTCATTTATGCAATTTTTTTCAATAAATAATCTAATAATTAATTAAATCAATAAATTGTTGACATTTTTGTTGTTATCAAGAGATGTTTTTAGCATAGCACGCTAATTTTGCAGACAAATCTGGCTATAATTATCTTATAATTTATTTCTTCATCTAGTTATTTTTATAATCTAAAACTTAAAGGCAGATAGGTGTCCATTAAAAGAAAAATTAAAAAATCTTCAAATAACATCAATTTATAGAAAATATGTAAAGGAAAAATAAAAAGAATTTTACAGGTCATTGCATTAAAAGTACTTAAATATAATTAAAGTCTTGTCCTACAGAAATAATCGCAATCTTAGTTTATATATGTTATTAGTTTTTAATTTCAATATTCTGCCTTAGCAAATAAGGAAAAACAAATCTAATAATTTTTTTATTCAAATGTTGCATAGTTAAACCATTAAAATCCTCTCTCATCTGTAGTGATATAAATAAAAATTATATGTAGGCATATATTTCCATTTTTTTCCTGACTAATCATCCATTTAGTTGTAAAAATTAATTGTTGAAATAAAAAGCTTATCAGTTGTTTTTGTCAGGAATCAAAAGTATTAACAATATTTATGAATCTCGACTAATCCTATGAATTATAATCATTAGATTATCTCAAAAAAGTATTAATGAAATCAGATCAATCTCAATCATTCTGTAAAGATTGATTGATCAGTCATAATTAATCTTCTTAGTGTTAACTATGGATCAATTTCGATAAGCGCTGTATATTTTTAATTCTAGTAATACCAAAACTAGTATACCCCAGCGAGAACTCATACATTAGATAACTGTTTTTCTCCCTAAGTGACCTTGGGGACTCCAGAACTATCCTCCTTTGTTCACCTTTTTAATAGATTGTTAGTTTGTTATAGATGATGATAAATAGCGATATTTTAGTTTTTAAAATCCTATCCCACCTAGAAAACTTCCAAATGACGTACACTTTATTTCGAAAATGGTACATTTTTTGGGCTTTACAATGCAGGAAATTTTCAAAACATGGTTTATCCAGTCTTCATTCATCAACCTACCAATGTCGATTTTTTGAAACCTCCTATTTTTTTGTAATCACTCAGTTGTGGTAGGAGTTCAGTGATCAAAATTAACATTTGTCACTTCTCCATGAAATTCCCTTTCGCTTGATATCTCAATCTTCATAATCCATCGCTTCTGGAGGTGGAAAAGGAAATTAATTATTCTACAGTATTATGTATAGTTTAGATTTATTTTTTCTTTCTTAAACCTCTTGACAGTTTAGATTACAATATAATTTTTAATGATATCTATGGAGAGGGGGAGGGGGCTTCTCATCCGTTTTTGTTCTGACAAAGTTCAAAGTTAGCCGATTTTAGCTAAATTTGGAGAAATAAACTTCAAATTAATTGCATATTGATGAAATAAAAAGCCCAATTTTGTTTTAATTTTAAATTTCTTATTTGACACTTCCAATTCATTTCAACTCCTTGTTTCCCCTATCCTATTTTTTCTCTCTCTCTTACATAGATTTAAAACTCAGGCAATGCATTGAACTGAAACATCTTTTTTTTTTTTTTTAGAAATTAAATTTTAACTTTTCATCATAGAAATGTTGATTTTTTATTGTTAGTATATTTTTTTATTCTTTTGTGATATTTGTAAAGAAATTTTAAATACATAATTGAGCTATTATTATTTATAATTATATTTTAATTATTTATATTTCTACTCAAGACATAATTTGTTTTATAATTATACTTGATAGAATATAATAATTATGATGTGATAATAATTTAGCAAATATCTCCATTGGATTCTTGTTGTTAAAAAATGTTGGTTTGTAATAAAACAGTTATGAGTATATAATATAAACTATTAATGATTGTCAGTAAAATTAAAAAATCGATTAAGCAATATCAATTTCTGTAAATACCACAAAAACTGATAATTGTAAATATGTTATTTAAGTATAAATAAAACTTATTCATGTGTATCATTTAGTTTTTTTTTTTTTTTCAATTTAACATTGATTTTAGAGCTTTTTATATTCCATCAGCCAGCTTATATTCCTTTTTTTAAACAAAATATGAGATTCTTTGTTAGAAATAAATTAATGAAATTCATGTAAATGTTAGTATAGTAACTTAAATTTAACTGAATATTTAAAATGAAACAATATTAGCATTAAAATAATGGACACCATATACTCTTGATATAAACTCAATTACAATCCTGTAGAAAGAAAATAATAGAGAAATGAGATTAATACTCTTATATAAAAAATACACTTAGGGTAGATTCTTCACTATTAATCAGACAATATGTCATTTCGATTGATTTAAATAATGTCTCATTCATTTAGTTGGACAGCATTAAAAAATTAAGTATGATTTTTAAATTAAAAGTGTTCAAGTAATTTAAAAATATTTGATAATCCAGACACTTGGTTATGATTACAACAAACTAATTAAATCTTAGTAAACTAAAAATTAAAACTGGAGTGACTACCTCTGTTAACTATGATGAAAAAATATCCAACGAAGAGTTTATTTTTAATTGTTACATTACAGCATTAATGTCCCGTGATTAGTTTTCAGTACTATATAATAAATATATTTATAGTTTTAATCATAAAGATGATTTGTTTTGCTAATCTCATCTCAGTTCATAGGTCAAAATTGAGATATACAGGTATATCATGTAGTAATGAGATTAAAGTTAAGGTATAGGAAACAGTTTATTTTTGAGAAAAAAACAAAAAAAACTATAATCCAATTTTATCAAAATCTCAAAACACATTATCTCCAATAAATCTCACAACACATTATCTAAAAATAATCAAAACAATTATCTCAAGTAAATCTCACAACACATAATTCATGCTGTTTTTTAGGTAGTCGCTAATGCTCCAAACAATAATTAAACAAAATAAACTTTGGTTTATTTTATTCACTAATCTTTGAGAGATATGGGAAGGTAAAAAAAAACAAATATTCAACTGAAAAAATCAACACAATTTATTCACATATTGTGACTAGGTTTAGGACAACGATTCTTCGCAGGAAAAATATTCTTCACATAACAATATCTGATAAAGAAGATTTTTATAACAAAATAATCTTTATTTACAACATTAGGAGAAAGATAATTTCTCAAGAAGTTCACAAAACTCAATAATGTGACTTCAAGAAATGATCAAGATAAGAAAATTAAAAGTGAAAATTTGGAATTTAAACAGATTAGTAAAATAAACAGACAAAATTAATATAATGTACGTATACATTTATATAGGACTATGCCAAAATCATAAAAAATTGACAAAACACATGCATAAAATAAGACGGCAATTGAACATTGATAATAACTTAAATAAAATAAAAACCAGATGAATGAAATTTAATAATTCATATAAATTGCTAAATATACTACAAATAAAACTGTTTTGTTTCAATAAAAAATAAAAATGGAAGAAAGGGATTCAACTTAACCTACTCTGTTTTTCCATCATATTTCAAAACTAGTCCTTCAATATTGACTACGATTGCACCAATTATATTTTGAAGTTGTTATATAATTAAATAATCTCTCATAATGAGCTAAATTAATTTACACAACTTATTATGTGCATACATTATTCCTTTTCAACAAAAATGCTATGTTATTTTATGAATAAGATAGAGACATGTCAATGTTACTAGCGTAAATAAGAAATAAAGATTTAATATTGTAAATTAAAAAAAAAAGATAAGATCTTAGGGTTTGGCCATTTATATTATAATTACAGTGAGATGATGTTTATCAAAATAAGCTAACTGCCACATGGTTTAACAAATAAAAAGATTCAAATTACATTTTGAAAATAAACATTTTTTTATAAAAAGTTATTTATGATACATATCTTTTTGGACTATGATAAATAAAAATAGACATATTTAGATACTGTAATTTATTTTAATGTTTGTTAATAACGTATGATTATTATATTACTTAGTAATATTTAGAGCAGAGTAACTATATTTACATTGACGTATTATTGATTATAAAAAGAATGAATCAAGATCATACTTCCAGTTATAACAAGAGTAAAGGAATAATAAAATTTGTCACTTAACCAGTTAATTAATTTTACATAATAACGAATAAGTGAAAAATGAAATTAATAAAAAAATTTTTTAAAAATAATATATTTGAAATTTTGGATAAAAAATTTAACATTGATACTTATATACATAATGAAAATAATAAAATAAAAATTTGCTAAGAGTTTATGAACAATAATTTTTGGAATTTAATAACATTTATTTATTTAATTTAAAATTAAGGTGTTTATTAAACTATTTGACCAAATCCATAAGACCATTATTTTCTACAATTAGAATAAAACTTTTTTTTTTTTTCAATAAACATGGCTACAAATCGGAAGGAAATTAGTAAATGGACTATACATTTACTTAATAATGCCTTTGAAATTATCACAGGCGATATTAGGCAATGTTATTCAGAATAGGAACAAGTATTTTCAATTAAAAAAAAAAAAAAAAAGAAAGAAAGAAACCCTTTCAAATTTTTAAAGAAATATTTAAGGGATAAATAGTGATGATCTTCAAAAAAGTTAAAATTATTAAGCTTCACGTTTTGGAAGATGTAGTCTATTTCGAGAATAATTGAAAAGCAACAATAACTTAAAGTTATAGAAACCATCGCATTACATTACACGTACAAGTTTACACAACCTTTGTTAAAATGTTAGCCATCCTTTTCTTTTTTACAATTAATTAAATTGTTAAAAATATAATAAATATAGACTATAATTTTAGTCTTCTATTCGTAAACATCACAATAACAAGAAATAAAATAAATAAAACATAACAATTCCAAAATACATCAGGGCTACAAGTTAATATACACGCTAACTCGAACATGATCTCTGCTCGACAAGATCCAACATACATATTATTATACATCTTGTTTGTACATTGTGGTTAACATTTGTGATGTGTCATATTAACGGTTAAAATTTTACTAGAAACGCCATCACTTAACCATCTGTACCCCTAAGGTAAACCTCGTCGAACATATCTAATTCTTTGATAACGTAAGATGCCTTGTTCCTCAAGACTTTGGCTGAGTTTGCGGCTTCTTCTAGCCTCAAAAGCTCCTTCTCGAGGGCTTTCATATCAGTACCCATTTCCGTTGTGGCTTCATCTACTAGGTGGCAAAGTCTGGCAAAAGTACTAGACAATTCTCTGGAACAGACAATAAACAAATTATAATAGGCCATTTTAAGCCTAAAGGAAACAAAACAAGTGGCACTTATATTATAAATAGTTAATTATAGACAAAGCTAAAAACTTTGATTATTCACTAATTGGCACTTATTTTAGCCATAAAAAAAGATTATTTTTTTTTTTATTTATCATAAAGCAACCGACCATCTAAAAATATATACTGAGTAGATACACATTATTAAAATCATGTTCTAGTGCGATAAAAAGTGTTAAATATTTATTTTATCTCAAGTATGGCCCACGGTATAGTTACAGGTCATCAAAGTGGCTAGGGAACCCATTTGAATAGGTTAACGTAGTTTAAAATATAAGATTGAAAAAAACATAATTTGTATTAAATACTCCCTAATACATAATACCTCCCAAATATATAATTTGTTAAAAAGATACTGATACTGAAAATTGAACAAGCTTGTTTCTAGAGAATAATAATAATAGAATCTAATTATTTACTATTGACATAGGAACCAAAAAATCATTCATGATGAACAATAAGACATTTAAATTTAAATTGCAACGACCTCTGATTAAAATCAAAGCCAGAACAAGCCAAGACGTTTGTAGGATCTTAGTTCCATTATAAATTAATAAGTGTAAAATTAATAGGCAATTATTCAAAAATTAAAAATAAATAGGAAGTTTAAATTAAATAAAACCAACTGTTGAACTTGATGGCTGCAGTTGGCTGATGTTAAATCCACTATCAACTTCAGCTTCTTGGTAGCGTGATCAACATACTGTCGCTTGAATTCCTTTTCTTTTGCTTTATTTGTCCAAGTAAGTCTTTCATACAAGTAAAGGCAACCGTATAGAGCAGATGTTACAGCAATTACTCTCCAACCAACTGTCTTCAACACCTGAAACATAATTTATAGGATTATCATCTTAAATTTGAGGACTTATACATAAAAAAAAAAAAGAAAAAGAAAAGAACCTACCATGCCTGCAAGTAACAGACCTCCAACAGTACCCTGAGACCCGACTGAGGCGAGAGCAAATTTGGATGCAAGGGTCCAGTCCTCAGGTCGCAAAAATGAACTAGAAGTAGGTTGAGGAGACGGAGATGGAGGACAGTTGTAGAAAGACATTTCTGATGAATCACAAGGAGATAGCATGCTCGGGCCATAGTTCTAAAAGCAAAAAAAAAAAAAATATTCGTAATTAAACATGAAATGTTATGATTAAAAAAAAAACTTTAATCTATCAAATGCTTTAGAAAAATGTCAGTTGAGCAGTGACTACTTCAGCTTAGTAGTACCTATTATGCAATCAAATAAAATAAAGAATATGATGTTTGAATTTAGTACCAGTTATGGCAATTTCAAAATATTTTATTAAGGAAGAAATAGCAAATGTTTGCTTGCTCTGCTCAACATATTTCTAGAATTACTTATAATCTTGGTATTATAGTGACATTTTCCATATAAAATATAGAAGTATAATATAGTCAAAATAAATTGAGGTTACAATTTTGAGACATGATATAAATTTCCAATTTTAATTTCGGATCACATATTGAAGCTAATTACTTTTGGTTCAAAATATTTATGATTACGTAAATATAAATAAATAGGTATGCGTGAAGCATCTACTACTACACAGGAGTAAAGAGAGATATATATTTATAATAAGAATATTTACAAATAGATCTGCACAACACAAGATGATATACTGGTCAATTAAATTAATTTATATTCAGTATTATTTAAACACTTACTGGCATGGATTGATAATTATTAGATGTCTGCCTAGGTTTATCACGGTTATAAAATCGTGAAATGAGAGACAATATTCCCCAAGAAAATCTGAACTCAAGGTCTTCCTGGAAATCGGAGCATAAGTTGTCACAGTTTATCCTGTAGAGTACCTCAAATGGCTCCCTTCGAGGTACAACTGAGTGGGTGACCCCCTGCTTCGTAGCAGGTAGCAGAGCAGACATTCTTTCTGAAATGGTACAGTTTTCAAAAATTAGGCAGGGTAACAAAATAAACAATAGAATAAATTTAATAAAAACTAAGACAGTGAACCACAGCTAGTTATGATAAAATCACACATTTTTCAGTCCAGTTAGGATATGTTTGACAATTAATAAAATATGAAAAAGTAAGTTATGCTCTCTGACCCCATCCCCCTACCAACAACTCCAACTAGTTAAAAGTAAATATTGATGCATATTTAAAGTAATTTAATTTAAAAAATAACGCTTGATTAATTATGTTTGAAAGAGATTGCTTAAGGACTACTTATTGAACCTAAGGTTTTCAATAACAGTATTTTATAAAATAGTGGGTTAAAAGCAGAGATGACGAACGACTCACTTGGAACCCCATACCAGACTGAAACGACTAGAAACCGCCCGACGTTTCCGACTACTCCAGCACTTACTAGACAAACGCTCTAAACTGCCAACTATTTACAAAAGACTCATGTATATTACTATAATAAGGCCTATTTGGACTTACGGGATCGAGCTTTGGGACTCTAATAAACCATCAAATTCCTCACGTATCCAATCCCTACAATCCAAAATCCTTAATGCTCCCTACTTTGTCACAAATAAAATCATCCATGATGACCTTAATGTACCACATGTTTCCGATTTAGCTCAATCCAGATATCTGTCCTTTCATAATAAACTTTTGAACCATCCGAACCCTCTTTTTTCCAACCTTGTTTCCTCTTCTATTCCTGATAACCCTCCGAGGCGTCTAAAAAGAAGATGGCCTCGGGACCTTCTAATATAGAAATATAATTGGAGTGCTACCAATGGGTAGTTTCTCTTCATGATGTATATGCCATGTTACTTGCTCATATTTACTTGTTGTATTTATTATTTAATACAGTTGTAAATTTCTTTAATAAAAAAAAAGAAAAAAAAAAGATATCTAGGGGAGATATTTAAGCAGCCGAATGTAATTATATCACCATCAACATGAGAAAGCAGCCATATTTGGATTTAACATCCTAAAAATTTTAAAACCCATCGTAAAAACTTTTAAAAGTAAAAAAAAATATTTTGCAGATTGGCACTATTAAAGTATTCAGTAACCCATCAAAGTCAGATGAATTAATATAAGTATAGTAAGTAGCTCTGAACATTAATATTGGAGATGAATCAGTATTATACAATAAATTAATGATCAAACACAAATTGAAATATTAGAGGGAACAGAAAGTAATGTCGTTTCTGCGCATGTCACTATTTGACTATTGTCAGCTCATTGTGTACATCAAAGTTGTGGCAAAGACTTTCTAAGGTTATAGTGACTTGTTTAGTTGTAAATAAATAAATAAATTTTTTTTTTCACTAATTTTGGGTGAAATCGTCAGCCAAATACCAGAAGAGGTACATATCCGGCATTCCATGCTTTTTGAGTTTCGCAAGGATAGTAACGCAACAGTTGCGAATAAAAACATTTGCGGTGTTTATCCAAATACATTAGATATTTGTAAATGCCAAAGGTGGTGTTCCAAGTTCAAATCTGGTAATTTTGATCTTTCCGACTCGTATCGATCAAGAAGACCAACAAGGTTATACAATGACGTTTTAAGGGCAGAAGAGGAAGAAAATCCGTGTCAGACAATCGAGAAATTGTCAAACAGTCTTTACCAATCTTGCTCGACCATCTACCGATCCACCACAAGCAACTTATTGCTTCAATGGCACAATACAGAAGTGATTTTTGATTGCTAGATTACAGGAGATAATAAAAAAATGAGTCCTTTATTCTAATCCAAAACGCAAAAGGCAGCGGCTCTCTCCAAATGAATCGCCATGAAGTACTGTTAAGCCAGTTTTACAACTCAAAAAGGCTCTTTTGTGTATTTGGTGGAGTATTTGCGGCATTCTTCATTTTGAAGTAATTGACAAACGGTAGATGAAAAGTAACCAGCGATTGTCAACATTAAAGGCATTATTCTACAGCACAATAATGCAAGAAGCACACTGGAAAATGTAATGAATTGGGGAGGGAGGTACTGCTTCACCCACTATACACGCCCAATATTGCACCATCTGATTTTCTTTTTTTCCAATCACTTCAATATTTTTTAAATAACAAAATATTTGTAAATTTGCATGATATTCAAATGATATTTCTATATATAAAAACCAATTAATTTTTATCGATCTGGCACTGAAAATTTGATCACTAGATGGAAAAAGATTGCTGATAATGAGAGTGATTACATATTTAATTAAAAATAGTAACTCGTTAAAAATTTATGTGTTTGAATTTAATGTAAGAAAACGAAATTACTTTCCAGTCTTCCTAATATATTAATTACAAGTTAAATTTAACACAGATTTAATTCATTGAACTATGATGTTACCTGTCATATCTCTCTGAGCTGCCTCAATATTCATCGCGACAGCTGTACTAAGGCGGGCTCTTAAGTTGGAGCCGAGACCGTTCTCAACGTGACTGTGAAGTTCCTTCTTATAGACATTGAGAACTAACATATCTGAGTGGAAGGGTACATTGAATTCATCAACAAGGTTGGAAAGGCGACGTATTTCCTCACCCATTGCCTTCGAAACCTAAAAATAAAAGCGTTCAAAGTGTTAGAACATTTTAATATACCTAAATTATAGCTAAAGAAAGTAACACCATTTAAAACCATTAGATGGTATGAAATAATCTCATAAACAGCATTTGCAAATGTGTTACAAATCGCTAATATATATTTGGCACTGATTGACAAAAGGTATTGATAGAGCCAAATAAATAATAAGATGATGGTTGACATGAAAGAAAATAAATTATATAATCACTATACTTTTAACCTATATTCAAACTGAATTTGGATTTTAAAAAATCAGTTATATGATATAGATATAAATATAATTAACAATTAAAAATGAACATACAATTATAAAAATGTTTGTTCTTTCAATTTCAACCACCTCATTTTTCTTAAATATGGTGCCCAGAGGATTTTTTCTGGCTTCCGATTTAGAAACAGCATGCTTGAAAACACAGTGATTAGAGAAAATTTGATGATCATGAGGGAAAAACAGGTATAAAAAATATTAAACATAAACAAATTTGGACATATCTTTCTATTTCGCCTAATAAGTTATTATTCAAAAAGTTTTTGAAAAGGATAAAATCATGTTTTTAGCATGTTTTACTTGATAAGATTGAAGTGTTTTCCCAATAGCTCAATTTCAAAAAACAATTTTGCCTGTTTCCCTCCCCCATGGTTTCCATTTCTAAGGGTAAAGATTTTTTTTTTTTTTTTAGTTTTACCCAATTAGTTTAATTACTAGATTAATTGAAAAACATGATTTTGAGGAATAAAATATAGTATGGAGGGGAACATGAGGTCACCGATAATAGGTGTACGGTTTATACATAAATGTTAGCTCCAGTATTAATTAATATTAAATTATACAGCTTATGGCAGTAAAAATGTATAACTATATGCTTAAACAAATAAAAATATCAACAGTGAAATATAAATAAATACAGCAGGCTCTTTAATCATTGCCTAACCTAAATGTGGCTTCTAATAATAAAAATGATATCCACCCATCATATATTGCATCAGTGCAGACTCATCATACTTAGTATGACCTACCATTAGAGTTCTTAAAAAACACATTTTTGAAATTTTGATCTGAAGGCATCACCAAACTCATAGCAAATATTGTCAAAATGGTCAAAAATCCATATTAGCCGAACAGTATGGCCGCACTGCATGGATCATTGAATAGAACAGCCACAATTTTACATACAATGTAATAAATAATATTGTTTGTGAAATTTAACAAAATTTCTAATGAATATTGTAAAAGTCAATCTATAAGGATTGAAAGTATCATTCGTGACATCATAAAAGAAAAATATTATAAAAATGAATCCTCACCCTCTGTTCTACATCTTCAACCATATGGTGAATCTTCTCTTTCATCTCCTGTGTAATCAGGAGCAGCTGTTGTTCAGTAAAGTTCAATTTATCGTTTACTTCTTTCTTCTGCAGGGATTTATCTCTCTGAAGTGAAAGAGCCCGCTCATAGACCGTTTCCATCACTTCACGAATATCTCTAAAATAATGAAAAATAAATTAAAACCTTAGATCAAGTCATCGTCTCAGTTAATTTAATTGTTTTTAATACAATTCAGGATGAATTTGTTATCGACGTACTGAGCTATAGATTTTCCACGGAGTGAATGCTGTTCAAACTTGGTCTTAATTGCTGATTTCGATATACATTCTTCAAATTTTCTTTCAAAATCTTGAAACTCAAAATATCTATTCGGAAATCCTTCTGCTAATGCTCCACCTACAATGTTACAATTACTTTTAAGCAATGATTTTCATAGCATTCACAATTTTTATAATCTCTTCTTACTTTATGATTCAAAGGAGTATTTGATTGAGATAAGTTAAAGCATGAAGACGTCTACTCACTATGAGGAGGTAACCCTTTTTCTTCTTGAAGTCTCGCTTGAAGCACTTCTTTGGCTGAGACAAAGAATATCCTCTCATTGGCTTCCTTAGAGGTGCACACTTTAAGTTCCTTGACAAGAAAATCGGCAGCTCTCTCCATATGCTGTGCTCTGACCTGTAGAAATAATAAAAAATGAGTAAGATAAAGAAAATAGTGAGGATATATAACAACAGGTACCAATAACAATAAGAAAACTGAATGCTACAATTGTATTTGTATTTATTTAAAAATAAATTTTAGAATGTAACACAAAATCTCATGGAGTTTCTCTACCTATGCTATAGGTAGTTGGAATAGATAGATAGAGAAGGCTCAGCTATGAAAGAGTGAGAGGAAGATATGGGTAAGATTCTTAAATTTCATATCCACCACTCAATCTTAATAAAGCTGACCAGACTTAGTATAAGAGTGATTACTGTGCAACTTGGAGAATCCAAGACACATTCCCTTCAAGAGCAGAATATTCACGAAATGAAGAAGAATATGTTTAGGTTCGAAAGCTATGGTAACTTTCTTTGATTAATAAATAAAGATAACACCTGTAGTTTAGTAAATTTTTTTAACAATATAAAAGAGCTTATATAATAAAAGTACCCTTATATTCTCATTTAAGTTTTATAAAACTACTAGGTTATCTCAGTTTTAAACTATGCAATCATTCAAGTTCAAGTTTTAATTTAATATTTTTTTTTATTATAAGTTGCACTCAAAAATTATTTAGTGTTTCATATCCAGTTTAATATCATCTTGCAGTGACAATTAAAGTATTGTTTTGGCAAGTCTTTAAGCCAAAAAAAAAAAATAAAATAAAATAAAAATAGAACAGATGGAGAATGAATATAGCCTATTTTAACTTGGCAACAAGTAGGATGGTAATTTCATCATGAGACTATAGGGGCTTTCAAAATTTCTGCAATTAAAAAGCTTGAGTCAGCTTATACACACATGATAACAACATATTAATTATCATATGTGTATTGGTAGTTCCCTTGTTTCATTTTAAGTACACTAGTTTATTAATTTAATAAATACTACTTGTCATGGTAGACATATTGAGATGGAATCTCGGTACTCAGTATCAGAAGCGGTGCTAGTTTGAATCTGGTGTTGAAGAATTGAATTTTGTTTTGTGACGGCGCCACAAAACGAATTTCAACCTTCTCACATTAAATCCAAATTAACAATATGTTTAAAACAGGGATATAAATTTATCATTTCATTAACGATTGAATATCATTCAATGGTTTTTAAAACAAAGTTAATCACAAGTGCAAAAATTCTCATATTCAAACTTAATAAAAAACTATTTGTCTTATTTTGTAATCTCTGGATTATATTTTACAAAAAACAAAACAAAAAAACAAACAGTAGCTGGCAACATAAAAAAAAAATTAACAGCTTTTTGTAATGTACACATGTTGCAAAGCAGTAGTGTAAGGTGATAAGCAAAATATCAAATCGTTCAAAGCTTTGAAAAGAAGTAGTGACAGCCAGTGCAGATCAAGGATGGTCAGCAAAGCTGATACAATCTGCAATATGTTTTGTTTTGTTAGTCACTCAATCCATACAAAAATTTCTATTTAAACTCTATTCAAAACACACCTTAAACCACTTACTAATATATATACAATGACAAAAAGGCAAGTAATATATAAAAGACATATTGGAATATTCATTCCACTGCTACAAGACTGTAATTCAAACAGTAAATTATTATTGTAAATGGAGAGGGAGGGGGTTTGTTTATTTAGGCTATGGCTTATGTATCGAATAGATTTTGTATCTGGTAAGAATAAAAACAGCTCTTTGAATCGGTTCAGAAACAAAACAAGTTCAGCATGAAATCATCTATCACTAATAAGAAGTGACTGCTGTAGACATCACAAGACAAGCTTACATGTCACAAAATCTGACTACTCTCAGATAACAAAAAAGCAGTTGGGAAGGCTAAAATATGAATCAGATAGTTATTGGGACTACTTTATTTACATTGAAATATAATATAACTTATATTAAAATAATTTTTAACTTTGAAATAATATTCCAATTATTAGGGCTTAACAATAAGAAGTAGCTTAAGATGCCTGTACTATCATGTCTTGACAAATAGACACGAGGATGATATAAAGGAACAGGCAATTTTTAGATTATGCAATCACTAAGTAAGTAACCGAAATATCAAGTAGAATATGTAAGGCGAATCAGGTATATTACCAGACTACTAATAGCATTATCGGCCATCGCGAAGTAGACAAGAAGACCAAAATGCACGTATATAAGTCTGTTTACCTACCTACACTCACCTACGGCGGAGAAAGCTGGACAATGCTAGACAGGCACTCTAGTCGCATAACGGCAGCAGAAATGAGGTTCCTTCGCAGATCTGTTGGCAGAACTAGAAGGGATCGCATTAGGAATGAAAGCATTAGAGAGCAGCTAAGAGTTGCCGAACTTAAAACTACTCTAGAAAGACGGCAACTGCAGTGGTTTGGACACGTCTGCCGCATGAATGAGAATTTGAATCCTATAAGGATATTAGAGGCTCGACCCACAGGAAGGAGACCACGCGGACGCCCCAGACTCACGTTCCAGGATTACATTCAAAGGATTGGATGTAAAAGGGGCAAAACCCTTAATGAGATGAAGCGACTAAGCAGGGACCGGGAAGAGTGGCTGCACTGGTTGAGGCTCCTCGACGCTAATTAATGGCATAAGAGGAAGACAAAGAAGAAGAAGTAAGTAACCAACAGGTGAATTTGGCCTTTATCGATCTACAGAAGATGATCAACTTTTATCAATAATTTCTTACATTGGTTAACACCATATATTTGTATTTGTTAGTATCTTCATTGCAGGGTGCATAAACGTGTAATTATTCAACTTGTGTTGATAAAAATATTATCTAATGACACCACAAACATCACACTAATTATCTATAGAAAAAATTACCAAAAGAACCAATTTCCGTAACAAAAACTATTACATTACAATGGCAAATAATGCTAAATTAAATCCACAATGTGTTGGTCCAAAAAGACCAATTGTGGGCAAACAATATGAACGCCAAGAATTCAAATAAATGAAGTTTAAAAATTAGGAATCATTTACATACTTGGACCACATGAAAATACTGAAAAATAATTTTTTTCTTATTTTAGAAGAATTGTTAGTTACCTATCAATGCTTATTATTATTGACCAGCCAATGGCGAAGATCGTTGTTATTGATATATTATGTTCATTGTCTTAAAACTCAGTTCCTTTCCAACATAAAGTAGATAATCTTTTTCATATTGAACTATTGAACTTGCCATAACATTTTTGATAAGATTGGTTCAGTACCAGCAAAAAGTAAGAAAATAGCCTTAATATGAAATTATAACTAGCATCACTAAAAATAATATACTCGATTCAAAACCAACCTGTAGCACCGTAAACCACAAGGGTCTTGAATCCAGTAATTTGCAAGGAGGTACTGATTCTAGGTTAATGGTTGGCCAGGATACGAGTATGAATGTGATGTTTGTTCATAGATAAAGTAGGAGTGATGATTGCAGAACCGCGGATCAACAAAAAATTGAACTGGAGCTTAATGCTTTAAATTGTTAAAAAATAAAATTATCTTAATATTTTTTTTTTAAATAATGACAGTGAGATAATATTATAAAACAAGAAAAATAAAATGTTAACTCCAAACTACTTGTAGGTCATTTTTAATTTACAATAAATTAGATATGTATAATTTAAAAAAATCAAGCAGACACTATTCAAGTGATATTACTGAATTAGTTCTCTACAGTATCCCATTAATTACTAGAAATAAGTAATTTCAAATTTTCTTCTAGATGAATCTCCAGCTTCTTCTTAAAAATGAAGGTATAGGTTACAATCATTGGATATACACAAGACAAACATGCTTTCAAAACAATTCTACATTCACAAACATAATTTAATTGGAATATTGACCATCACCAAAACAATAAAACTTAACAATTAAGTTACAAACAATTTCAAATTACAAACAAGAATATTTTTTTTTTTCAAACGATTTCCAAATTGAAGAATCCTACTGGAGATAGCAGATATTAGACTAGAGAAGACCATTCACCATACGATGATTGTTGCATAATGATTTTTAAGCATGAAAATTCAACAAAAGATAAATAAGCAAGTGAAATATAAAAAGATGACAGCACAGTTTACTAGAAACCCACAACAAAGTAAAATATAACTGGTTATACCTGATTTTGTATAATTTCATTCTGCTTCTTCCGAGGTAAGCAATATAATGGAATAGAAATAAATTCATTGATTTATAATATATTTAATTAAAACTACAATAGATAGATAACTAGTATCTATCAAAATACTAAAAATTTAAATTTAGTCTCACCTGATCTTGAAATTCCATCTCAGATGCTGAAGCGTCCCATCGGTTGTTTAAAATAAATATGTTCGGTTTCGAAAGTCGTGTCGATACTTTGTGGAAAAAGTTTTTCTCCTGAAAAATTAATTTTCTGAAATTCTACATTTATTATAAAAACTAAGTTTTTAATTGCACATTAACAATGATTACAGCAAATCTTCTTAAATTTTTTTTTTAAAAAAAAGATCAACTTACGGTAACCATAAGTGTTGATTCAGCATTAGCCACCAGAACAAAAACATCCGCATCAAGGCAATGCTTGTCGATCCATTCATCTAAATTAGGAGAAACGTCAATTCCAGGAGAGTCGACGAACACCACATCATCCCTCAAAAGAAAACATTTATCTCTCGGCCAAAATATTCTTACCAGTTGAGATTCTGACAGCTTCTCCTTACACAAGGCATGAGCAAGTTGACCAACAGACTGCAAAATAATGAAACAAAGTAATAAATTAATAATAAACATCAAATAAATAAAAAAATTAAACCAGGTATATAACACGATGAATATTAGTTGATATATTTCTATCTGTATTTCATATTTATATATGTTGTCTTCAAGGATTGAATTGTCATTAAATTTTTTTCATTTATTTAGTTCATTAAAATGTTTTGAGCTAATTGACTCATTTTAAAGCTATCAAAAATGTATGACATTTATAACAAACTTTCCACATTATACTATTCAATTACTGTTTATTACTAGTCCAGTAAAAAAAAAACCAATAACATTGCTTTTCACATTTAATCGAATGCATATCCATTCAAGAAACTTGAAACCAGGTTGGATGGACCCATTTTAAACAATAGAAGGAGGAGGAACTATCTGGTATCAAGTTTTATGAATGGACACGTATTTGATTAAATGCGAATAAAATGTGAAGAGAAATGTTTTTTTTTTTTTATATCACTGGACTAGAAATAAACAGTAATAGAATTGCATTATGTTGAAAGTTTTTTATAAATGTCATAAATAGTTTATAGCTTGAAAATGAGCCAATTGATTCGAAAAATTGTAATGAACTTAATAAATGTTAATATTATAAGGATAATTCAATCCTTTAAGACAACATTTATAAGTAAATTAAATGCCCTTAAAAAACATAGTGCTGAAAAGTATCTAAACATGTGGGCGGGGTGGCCGAATGGGCTAACGCGTGTGCACAGCACCGCTGTTGCCCGGCAACCTGATATATCAATCAAATGATATAAAATAGTCACGAGTTCGCGTCTCGGTGCCGAGGGAGTCTTTTAAATCCCCGCCCACACTCCCTGGCCCGGGAAAATCCCGTATAGCCTTAACAGCGAGGAAGGGAACGACCCCAAAAAAAACTAAATATACATAAATAATTTTTAATTTTTGGAGCCATAAATTATTTATTTAATTCTCAAATACAAGACAATATGTTCACCAATTTCTTTCTTTATTTTATAATTTAAAGACCAAATTTCTACAAGCACTAGAGCCATAATCAAGTTTTATTTTGTACTTTATAGACAATTCTCATTTCAATATTTTCCACAATTTGATTAAGGAACAACCAAATACTCTGGAGAGACTTTATTTATTTAAAAAAAAAAATAATACGCCATATTTGATCTTTATCAAAACAAATGAAGGAAAATATTTATAAAGGGATTGTCAATGGAATCCAAAATAAAGTTTCAAAACGGTTCTAGTGTTAACTGAAACGTTATCTTTAAAATTATAAAATGAATAATGAAATAGGTTACCAAATGGTATTGCACTTGAGAACAAATTATTATTGATAAATACAACAAAGACAAAACTAAGGAGATGGAAAACAACTCCCTCGTTTAGTTGTTCAAAGAAAATGTACAAAACCTCAAACTTTATTAACGACTAGGCAGAATTATTTGTATTAATAGTAATAATTCTATTAATCAACATCTTCCAATTATTTACAACAATCCTGTTTTTATTAAAGTCTGTGCATTCACCTATTACCAAATAAAAAGGAAATAAATAAAATTACATGATGGAAATTATGTTTTATCCAGACTTAATGGTTCATTAATAATTTTGTCTTATTAAAGCGGAGTCTGTCTCACCTTAGCCTGTATCATAGTGGAGATCCTTCTCATCATTAGATCTGCAGCAATAAGGATAATGGAGACCCCAATATATTTTTATATTTTACAGTAGTTATTTTTATTTATAAGTGAATACAAATTTCACACATATATTGAATTTAATTCTATTAATTTTGTGACTTTCATAACTTAAATAATAATTAATTTTAGTGCTAGATTAACAAAGAGTACGCAAAAACTAAAGGGGACCACTTGCGGCACCCGAGGGCACAGCTAGCTCACGGATGCCACATGTGGCCTTCGAACCGCAGGTTCCTCAACAGTAGTCTACATCAATAGAAACACAAAGCAATACATTTTTATGATTCCAATTTGTCAAATTTTGTATTTTTCAGCAACGATAATAAGCTATATTGTAGTGATAGTTTCGGGTGAATACAGGCAGTGGAGAATTCTTATCTCCGAAGAGCATGGGCGGGTATAAATGAAATGATTTCATAATTAAATATGAATTTAACCATATTATAAAAAATATGAGGGTGAATCAAATCAAATGGTTGGGCCATGTGGTACTTAAGCTCAGAAAATCAATAATAAGATATAAATTCAATAAATATTCCAACTTTTAAAACAAATTAACATTTATTTCTACTCACTTTTACATTTTGTTTTTCTTTAGAATCTTCAGTCATTAGGTAGGATTCTGAGTTGTCTGAGCCTTCAACTTGGAGAAAACAGTTGGTAGTGTGGCCGATACCACTGGGAAGGATCTTATCCCGCAACATGGCATTAATAACACTACTCTTTCCATTACTGGTTCTATAAATATAAATACCATCAGTTTAAGTACAACTTTAGATAAATATTAAGCATTAAAAAGTGAAAAATAAATAATTGGTCTTAAACTATAAACTCGTTTATGTAATTACTTTCTCAGTCGTCCAGAAGGTAAAGTAAATAAAATAGTGGCATGAAGAAAAGTTATCAAGATGGACTCAGGCTACATAGTTAAGGATTCTTTGAGACAAAAAGAGTGGTTAAAGATATATATATTAAGAAGACAGTCATGGGCGTGGTGAAGAAAAACATAAAATAGTAGGAAATATTTATCAAATCCAAACCTTTCGACTTACATTGCAGGTCTTCATCAGGACAACAAAGAATTAAATGTAATTGAAAAATTATATATTTATATAAAAACTGACTGAAAGGAGAAAAATAAATAATAATCTAAAAATAATGAAATTATCAGAATAAATTACTCAATGAGTAAGGCACTATTTCTGTATCTCTAGGATTCGAGTCCAGCTGTGATAGATAACTATTTATTCTCCTATCAGCTGTGGATCAATCTTGAGCTTGGAAAACCCTTCTGGATATATATTCAGCTTGTATAAAGTTGGTACCCTTAATTGGGGGAAAAAACTTGGCTGTTGAATAAGATTATGACCAAATTACCTGCTTCAACAACAGGCATTGGCCTAAAGATGGTACTTTCTTAGATAGTACTGAGCTCAAGACTCTTAACAGCTTGTAGTGGCAAAGGTTTTTATGAACTCATAAGCCAATACACCGAAAAAGTAATGAATGATAAACAATAAAATAATAAATAATAAAAGAAATATCATTAATATAAGTTACCATGCACAATATCATATAAATAACAAGATTATTAAGACATCAGATGATGAAATAAAATATAAAGAGGATAAAAGGATGGACAGGCCTGTTTCTATTGCATATAGCAGAAGGAGACTGCCAAATTGCATATGTATGTTTTGAGTAAACTCAAGTAAAATTTAAATGACCTTTAATTAAATGTTATAGCTTTCATAAAAGTATATATGCATGAATCTTCAATCGCCTGACACAGCTTCTTGGTTTTGCTGATGATATTGACATAAATAGGTAAGGTCTGAACAGCCTCTCAGAGAAGCGTTTATAGGCCTGAAGCGCTGCAAGACCACTTGGGTCTAGAAGTCAACGAGAGGAAAACTAAGTATAATAGAGTTGGTGGTGAGGTGGATCTGAACACTCCATTTGAGGTTAGGTTCTTTTAAAGTTTGAGAGAGTGAAAAGTTTTATATACCATGGGTCCTGAAATTAATAGCCAAATGACATGGCTCAAGAAATACAAAGAAGGATCACACCTGCCAATAGAGTGACTTGGGGGGGACTCATGGCCGAGCACTTAAGAATAGGTACCTCTCAAAGCGAAACCAAGCTGATCAATTCCAAGACTCTGGTAACGGCCTGTTTTGACATATGGCACAGAGGCTTTGACGATGACCTAAAACGATGAGATGAAGCTGAGGGTTTTTGTAGGCGAGGAGTCCACAGAAGGATTTATGGTCCCAGTAAAGGAGGGTGATATCTGCAGGAAAAGAAAAAATAGGGACTCAGTTCTCACTAGCCAGAAATCGACGTAGATCACCTACATTAAACTGGCCAGACTAAGGAGGCAGGCATGAGTCCAGAATGAGCACCGTTGAGAAACCCAAAAAATAAGATGGAGAAGCTTCAACCTCGCAAGCCGGAAGGAAGCAGAAACGAGGTGGTTGGACAACCGTGCCTATGACGCAAACCCTGCTTGGTGTACGGATACTGAGAGCTGCAGCAGAAGACAGACCAACGGCGAGGCTCTTGGAGGAGCCCATCTCGGTAACGGGATGTCGTGCCACACATGATGATGATGATGATATATGCATGTATAAATATATATAATTTTATTTTTTTCTGTTCGCATTACATATCTTTTGCCACCTAAACGAGCCTGCTCCGTCTCTGCCTATCTTTGTCTATTTCTTTCCAGTTATCAGCTCTATTGCATCTTTGTTGATTCTATCTATCCACCTGCTTTTTGACCTCCCAAGTGATCTTTTGCCAATTATTGAGTTGGCATTTTCATACTTTTGCATTATTTCTTGTGGATTATTCCTATTCTGCTAAATGATGTCAATTTTATGTTATTATGGAACGCCACTCCAATTCCATCTTGACTTACTACGTCGTTAACGATTAGTATAAAAAACAATCCAAAAAATAAAAAAAGGAGTTGGTTGGGGAGTTCGGTCGAATAAATACTAAATTTTTAAAAAAATATTATTTTTCATAGTATTTCTAATTGGGCATAATAATTAAAAATACTTTAAAAAAAAAAATTAATATTTATTTGACCGCATCCTCCGACCAAATCCTTCTCATATTATATCATTGTCAACCATCTCTACATCAATCCAAATAATAAACATTGTTGAACTACTATTTATCATTACCATTGAACAGATAATGATAAAATATTACAATTACACACCTATCAGTTCAAAGTTGCAGGTCAAGATGGAATGACCATCTTGTAGATTAATTTCTATGTAAACTATTAAATACATAATACATAAGATTAACCTATGAAGTTAATATTAATCAATAAATATTAGAGTAAATATTACGATGTTGAAAAAATACAACTTACCTGCCGAAGAAGGCAACTTTCATGTGATCCCTGGACAATACATCTCTAATGCCTTTCACTTTCTGTACATAGCCGGTGACTAAATTAACTTCATTATCCTCGACAATTACCTTGTTTTCGCCATGAACTACTGTAAAAAGTTTTTAATAAAAAATAGTAATGTTTGCAGTAACTTTGAATACAGCACTATTTATAAATTTCTAATAAGAAAAAATAAGCTTAATCAGAATGGCTACCAGACAGTTAAAGTAAAATTCCCTGACATTTCCCATTTAATGATACTTTTTCCTGACCAATACGTCTGGGGACACAAATATTAAAAATGTATACTTTATAACTAAATTTATTTATTATACACAAAAGAAAATAGACTACAAAATGATTTGAGTAAAAAAAGAAAAGAGGAAGCATTTTATAAGCTTGATTAGTATTTTTTATTATAGAAAACAAAACTTTTAGTAATTTATTTTTATCGGTTTTATTTTATTATCATAAACTAAGAGGAGGTTAAAAATTGATACTTGACATATAAAGCTTTGATTTTCTCTATTATAAAATAAAGTAACATTATCCCCAAAACAAAAAAAAAAATCTACAATAGTATAGTACTGAGCATTATGACATATGGGTCAGAAACTGAGACCATAAAAAGCAACCTCAGGAAGAAACTTATAGCCACTGAAATGGACTACTGGAGACGAACGACGGGAATATCCAGAATGGATAAAGTCAGAAACACGACCATCAGAGAAAAGATGGAGGCTAAAAGAACCATTCTGGAAGAGATTGAGATAAAACGCCTGAACTGGTATGAACATTTGAAAAGAATGCCTGAAGGAAAGATTACCCAAAGAAGTCCACTTATGGAAAACTAGAGAAAGAAGAAGACAAGGAAGACCTGGGATAACGAAGTGGAGGAATCCATGATGGGTCATGATCTACGAGAAGAATGGACCTTAGATACTCCTAATAAAAAAATAAAATAAAATAAAGTAAGCTATAGGTGATTCTAATAATAATGTAGTTTCTCATAAATAATGTAGTTTCTTTATTACTATTAACAACATAATAATTATCCATAAGACAAACTGTGACATTTCTGGTTCATGGTTGAGTATTTGCCAGCCAGATCTTGATCCAGATGTAGATATTAAAAATATTGGTATGTTTCTCTTAAAAAAAACAATGTTTTTAGTCCATTTTGAATAAATTTTATTCATTAACCTTGGTTGATTTCAATATAACGACCAGTGCCGTTATTGACAGTCACAGGTGGATGAATATAGCAACTGTGATCATTTATAACGACGAAGTTACTTCTTCAAGATCATTATAAATGATATCCAATGCCCATTTATTTCCAATTTGAAAAAAAATATTTAGGTACTAAAAAAATTCCCTGACATTTCCCTATTTTGAAAATGCCCTGACTTTTCCAAGTAGATCGCCATTCTGTTACTGTTATAACTTTTTATAAATAATATTTATAATAGGTAAAGCAATGAAATTAAACACCAACCAGGGTAATTAATAATTAAGATTGCTGGCAGTTATCAATAATTGTGAAAGTTTGATAATGTTAATAAATGCCTTTTAAAAGAGGGAAATTGTTGTCAATTAAAGTCCCCAAAATAGTAACATGATCTCTTCTTAATGTAATAACGTTTGTCACTAGGGATTATTAGAAATTCCTTTAATAATAAAACAAAACAAATAACATAATTGTACGACCTCTGTTGGTAAGGAGTTCTATCTGGCTTCAGCCCAAAATGAACAAGTTGTTGAATATATGCATATGAAATTCTTTTGTGTATATATAAGATGCAGTATTTGATGAAATTAATATGGAACCATCCTTCGGATTAACAGTTTTTTGTTTGTCACTTGGATTTGAGTATAGACAGACATGGAACCAAATTTGTTCTTCAGCGTCTAAAACTTTTATTAGTCATAGATCATTTTGTATAGCCTGCTCTTACAAGTATTATACCTGTAGGCCTCCCCTAATTAAGAGGGTAATGGTCTAACTTCCCGGGGGGGCCAGCCATATTGGGAAGTTAATATAGATCCATATTTGCTTGTTGAAGGTGAAAATTTTTGAATATTATAAAATAAGGCTCTGTTTATTTTTCCACCATATTTATTGTAATTTGTATAGCTATGTTTCGGGCGGTAAGCCATCCTCAAGCCATTTTATTCAACCATGCTTTTTGCATGTAGTCCAAAATCTAATTCAATTAGACATACAAAAAGCATGGTTGAATAAAATGGCTTTAGAATGGCTTACCGGCCGAAACGTAGCTATAAAAATTAAAATAAATATGGTGAAATTTTTTTATTTATTTTTTATTAAACACCTCTGCCGTTGGCTATTAGGCCATTCGGTTCCTGGTAGCCCAATACAACTCGGCCATGAATCCTTTTCCATACATCTAACTGTACAGCCTCCAATTTATCATTCTCTTTTTAATTGAAAAGGTTACTTTGAGGGATGATTTAGCAGTGACAATTATTCCTAATGCAACCTGCCTGGATTTCTGCAGTTTATAAGTTTGATATCCCGGCAATTGGTAGAACTGGATATTTTCAGTGGATGAGCCTGTCTTCGCGGCAACAATATTGCTCATTTAGTTATAACCGGAGGGCACGTGTACAATGTACGGACGCGAGCAAAGTTACCCAATTTTTATTAAAGCTTTTTAGTATGGTGAAAAAATAAACAGAACCTTATTTTATAATAATCAATATAGACCATTATTAACCATTAAATAGAGATCTATCTATTTCTGTAATATATGTAGACACTCTCAAAGAAGTCACCAGTGTAGGTCAGACTACCGAGACTGAATTTTCATTTTCATTCATTTCTTGAATCTTGTTCATTTATTAATAATCAATGAATAATAGAAAAAGAAAAAACAAAACTTACCAGTAACATAATTACTGGAGTCAAGGACGTAATCTTCTATTTCAACAAATATGTCGTTGATCTTCCTTTTGCCCTTCACGAACCTCTGAAGCGGAGAAGATGAATTACGTGAGTGCTCAATTGGGATGAGAGGGCTAGGCCCACTTGAAGGGATAGTGCGGTTCAAGAAAGCGGCCATCATGCAACCATGCAACTGCAACATACAACAGCAACATTGTAACTACTTGGTACATCAATCCTTAGTTCTAAGTGAAGTATAGTAAAATATACAAAATAAATAATAAAATATGTTTAAAAATTATATACCAACCATAAACTTTGTTACTCGCATAAATTCATAGCGTTTTCATTAATATGTTGCTACTTAATGTGAGAACATTAATAAAAATCAAAACTAAAATAATTCAGCAAGTAAATAATGTTGTAACAAATAAGAGAAATTAGTTGACAAAAAGGGCTCAATGTAGGGATGGCTATCAAAAGTCGATATTATCAAAATACCAATATTCCATCCCTAGCTCAATAGTTATTCTAAATATGCAGTAATTATGGTACTCTTTCCAGTTTTTTTGAATAAATGAACAAAACATAAGATTCTCAGGTAAGCAGATTATGCAATAGTAATTGGAAATAAACAAAAGAACATAGAGAAATGAACTGGGATTATTGGAATATGACATGTTGATGTTAATTTTCTGAATTAACATTTATTTTTGGTTTACAGACCATGTAGATTTTTGCCATCGAAACAACCCTTCCTCATTTATGCCGATCTCGGGCTATTTCTTTCCAGTTATACGCAGCATCTTTATTGATTTAGTCCATCCATCTGGTTTTGGCTTTCCATGGGGTTCCCTACCTACTATTAAGGCTTCCTGATAGGTTGCTTCGAGTAACATGTTCCACCCATTTTAACCTCCTTACCTTCATATCAGGAGATATTAATTGACCAGTTTCTGTTAAGCAGTTCTTTATTGTTCCTCCTTCTCCAAGTGTTAGTATTATGATCCTAGATTGGTTCAGTTATTGTACAGAGAGATTTCCTCTCAAATCTTTTAATGCTTCTCTCTCGGGTGCTGGAACCCATGATTTACTGTCCCGTATATATTAAATGAAAACACGACCAAATGTATGTTAAGTAGAAGGTACGTAAATGGAAAATAAGAAAATTAAATACTTTAGTCCCCAATATCCTTAAAAAGCTATCAATGTAATGAAATTGACCAAAATATTATGAGAATCAACAAAACCCTCCTCTCTTTCACATTTAAATCAAATAAAAACAAAACAAAAAAGGAACATGAAATATTTAATTATGGAAGTACAATCTAATAAAACTTAATAAATTATTATTCTTGGTTAAAATGAACTTTAAATTATTTTTCATCTTTTTATGAAGCAGAAATTTAATTGGGATATATCAAAAGTTTCAATCAGGATATTATTTCTACAAGGAATTCGTTAAGACCTTTTGTTAACTAACAAAACTATAATTATAATTTATTTTAAATTTTCAGTCACAATAACTGCTTCAAAAAACTACAGTTTTAATATACTTGTTATATTATAATGGAATAATATAAAAAAGGAATTGGATATTTATGTTTTTTAATAAAAAAAACAATAATCTCACAAAAATAAAAATAATTCACAGTTTGAAATGTCTTATACAATAATCAAGCAAACATTTTTAATGCTATAGTAAATGTAATTAAAATTTGTTTACGAAAAAGTGATATATTAAAAATAAATGTAATAAGACTATAACAGTGTGATTATATAAATTATATAAAAAAATAATAATAAAGCTATAACAACGTAGTATTTTAAAACTATGGTGCAAAATACAACACAGAAATAATATTTAAACATGCAACTTATTTTAGCTACAGTAAAAGTATAAAGTAAAGTAGTGAAAGGAATGAAAACGAAGAAAGAAGAAAAATGAATTTTCGTTTACATTTAATGAGATAATTTTAATATCAAAGAGAGGCACAAATGGTCGTAAACACTGATTTCAGATGCATGAATTAAGTATTCATTTAAACAAAAAAAATTAAATATAACTTATTTTGTCAAATAATCACATTTTAAAAATTAGTATACTTAATTTTAGCGAGTGTTGTAGCTAAATGTTAGGTTTTAAGATAAAATGGTAAAAGTTCGTATCAGTAGGGGTCAAAGAAACTCCTGCCTGGAAGTTATATCATAATCTTCTCAATTAGATTTTGAATAAAAGCATACAATTTTCATTTTAGTAGTCATTTTTTAAAATTATAAAAACATTTAAAAATAAAGAAAAAACATAATTCTTTTTTTTTTAGACTGAAATAATTATTTTTCTTATGAAAAATATTTATAAACTATTGATTTTACCAAATGTATGCCCATATTGCTTTAATTTCCAAAAACATTCTCAATTTTATTAAATCTGATGATAATTAATTTTTATAGATTTTTTTTTTCTTTTTGCATCTTTAATAAACAATTGATTCAATTAATAGATATAATGCAATCCCAAGATAATAGAAAAATTATTCAATAAAATATAAGGTAAGTAGAGGGGGGAGAGGTGTGCAGTGGCAGAACGTTTTCCCGCTGATCCTCCATTCTTTTGTTTTCACTCATTCGTAAGTAATTCTTTAATTTCTTTCACCAATTTTATTTTTCATTTCTTTTACGAAACTAGAATTTGAAGAAAATCGAACATCAAAAAACGTTCTCATACGCATTCCCGGTATGAGATGATTGCTAGAGTAAGGAGAGGAGAAAAGGCTGTGCAAGCTCCCTTCCCCTACAGGCAGACTTATATTAGACTCACTATATATTATACAAAAATTTTGTGTTAAGCTCCAACATATTTGATTTTAACTCAAAAGCTTTTAACTTAAGATCTCAAGCTCACTATGCCTACCATCAGTAGGTAATAATACAATGTGTTTGTAATAAAAATATAGCAATATAAAAAATCTCTTTCTTCTCATTTCCATTCCTCAAATAAAAAATATTTATACTTAATATCAATGCAAATACATTTAAAAAAAATTCTGAGGATTGAATTCATGACCACATCAACAAAGATCACTTTACAAATGATGCATACATTTGGAGAAAAAAAGAAAACCTTGAACTAAACAAAAAGCCTGAAAGCTAATAGTTAACAAAAGCAGCTTATTTTCTTGAGCATAATTAAAGTTACATAAATTATATTAAAGATTATACCATTTTTTAATATGTGTATACATAAGTGTAAATTCAGTCATTCATTTTTATATTCAGTAGAAAAATTTGGACCAGGTAATTATTACATAGGTTTAAACCATTATGAAATCAAATAATAAATAGGGATAAAAAGATGGAAGCTAACTAAAGACAACCAATTATACGAGTGTCAATATAACCATACGATTTTATTTAAAAATTTGTATTGGAATGACATTACCATTAATTAATACAAAAATGTAAAATTAAAATCAAACATGAAACCATATTTCATTATATCAAACAAGCTAATATTTACAAATGAATTATTTATTGTTTACTAAACTTAAGATTGGTAAACAAAAGATAAAAATCCAAATATAGAGTAGGCAACAATTTTAGTTTGGCATGTGTAATTTAAAGTCTAATAATAACTTTTGGCATTGTCTATCACCAACTTACGAGTACGATATTAATAGTTTAAAAGAAATGTTCAATATACAAGCACGGTCATCATTAAAAATTGTCTTAGAAACAGCTAAGAATAACAAAGGAATTATTAAATTAAATTTTTTAATAAAAATATTGGAATGCAATAATTACTACATGTTATGCAACTGTACACAAGTAGCAGGATACATTCATTTAGCCAAGCCTTAATGAAAATAAAAATAAGGTTCAAATAAAACTTTAATTTCATTGAACAAACTAATGTTACATGTTTAAAAAGAAATTAAAATTGTTTTTGGAGGACATTAAATTTATTTATAATTTCTATTTCTTTTTTTAAACTGTTTTAAAGTGAATTTATATAATTACAAGTGAGGAAAAATGATAATGCAACATTTTAATTAAAATAGAGATATGTCTTCCTTGTGTACTTTAAACTCTGGTCAATAGACCAGTTTCAGTGATCAGATCATCAAGCTAATTCAAATTCAATAAATTAATTACATAACGCTTATTTTATTTGATTCACCGGGATGAAGGATTAATGGCCGAAAACAGATACAACAGAGAGTAAAGTACACGGGAAAATCTTCAATTTAGCTGACTTACTCCTGTAACTTCATGCCACAATTCCAGTAGCAACAGTGTATTTAAAAACAATAAAAAACAGGTAAGAATGTAAGTACGTTCAAAACATTATGCGTTCCAAAGAGTCGTTTAATTTGTGAAAAACAAAACAATAGTAACCTAATATACAAAACAAAATAAATCAAAATTGAAAACTTTTTACACGGTCAAAACTATTATTATCACTATATACAAAATACTTCCCAAACATCAATATGTTGATAAATTTAGATATTAACTGTATACTAGGGGGTTTAACATATGTTACTTTAAACAATAAAAAGTTAAAATTTTATTATAATATAATAATACAATTATTAGAAGAAACACTGTTATTTATTGCTTTGTGAAGGGATGATAGCTTATACCAAGTTCAGTACTATTTGTTCAAACAACAACCATTTATTTGAACACTTTAAAAGAGTGGGAGAATTAAAACCAGATATCGTGGGCAAAGTTAATGTTAGAAACGTATGCAAAAACCGTAATCTGTTATAAAAAGCTTGGTTAACTACAAAACTATTTTCACATTAAAAAAAATGATTACTATGAATTTAAAGCATAAATTTAAAAATATGGTATCTGTTATTAGCTTACTGGTGATTATTGAATGACAAACTATATTATTGGGAAAAGAAACACCTGAACAAATCTACCACACTCAATTTCATAAGATTGAAAGATCTTTATCTGACTAATGTAAAGCTGCATTTGAAAACTAGCAACACAGTTTTGAGGATACACATTTAATGAAATTAAAAGTTTAACATGCATAAAATATTGAGAAAATGTGCAAATCGGAATACAGAAAATAACCTGTTCATTTTGTGGCATTTCAGGCACAATGCATGAATATCTGAAAATGGCATTGCAGTAATAAAAATGATGTGGATATGGCTAATTATAACAATATAAGATTTCAATACAATTTAGATGAAATTTACATAAATTTTACTGACAACAATTCAAACACCTAGTACTCTAATAGATAGAAGAAGTTCTGAGATAGAAGTATGCTTTGAATAACTCACCAATAAATAGATTGTATTAAGTAAAACTTGTTAAATAAGAAAACATCATATATCCATTGAAACGATAACACATGAAACACAAGGCAAGGTTAAAATCTTTACCGAAGGGCACTACGGAAAACTTTGGACAGCTGATAAGGAAAGATTCATTCAAAGATGAATAATCCAAGTTTTTTTTTTTTAAACTATTCAATAGTTTTTGAATGAAATTATACCTAAATAAATATAAAAGAATTTTAAATTGCTTTAAATAAAATTCAATTACCAAGTATTATTTTAAATTCACTTTGGTTTTGGAAAGGAAATAATTCAATTATATACATGTTGGCAGCGCTTAGTATTCCCTCCATTTCACGTGGTTTTTGTATATAGTTCTATTTTGTAATGTTTATAAAGTATTTTTAGTGTAAGTTTTAAAAACAATATCTGGACGACAATCATATGAAGGTGCAATGTGTTGTTATGTGAGATTTTCTCGGTAATTATGTTTACCTTAGACGAAGATTTCGATGTCGATGAGGTAATGTTTTGAAAATCATTAATTTAGCGATAAGAATTATTTTAATAGATTATTGCCTCGAAAAACCTCCATGCTTGCTTATAACGATTGTATAGATGTTTTAAAAAACTTGCATCCATGTTAAGAACCTAAAACCTTTCACATTTTGTGTCATCCAGAAGATTGATCTGTCAGTGATAACAGGAGAGTAGTGCATCTACTTCATAACATTAGTCTTCAGTGAATATTTAACACATTGTAAAAACAATGGTCAAAGGCAATAGTGTTTTATACTTTGCTATTGATAATACTTTATTATATTTTTAGTTTTTCTTGACCCATCACCCTTCTCTTAAAAGAGTATTACCCATTTTATTTTTATTGGAATTAAACTTATAAACGGATTATATAATTTAACAGGTAAAACCTATTTCATTGAACCTAGGTTGTTACTCAGTGCACTCCTTTCACAAATCCATGGTAAAGTTCCGCCAATTGGGTTGAAACATAGGTTCAGAACTGTTTGAATTATTTTATCCACTCCTCATACAACTTCGCCAGTATCAAGTCTTGTTGGCGGTTTGCTCAAGATAACATTGAACATACATTCAAAAAGTAGAGGGATGTTACTAATCTCCAGACTTAATTAATTTTTGGAACTTATTTGATGAAAAATTAAAAATGATTTTTATTCATAGACCAAGAACTCCTGCTTGGTATGGTCCCTACCACATCTGAAATGCAATCTTTGGGGATTTGGTTATTCTATGAACTGGTGACTACTTTGACTGACCTGTCAAAGTTGTTGGCAACACTCAGCTACCTTCAAAACTCCATCTACATTGTGATCAATGTAATCCTGACTCTCCCCTCCCCACGGTCAAATCATAATTGATACTTGTGAAATTGTACCCAAGTTGATTGAATTGGAATATAACTTATTTATTTTCATAATAATATTTTTATTTATTTTTTTATTCGTTGATATTTACAACTGCATTATAAAAAAAAAAAAAAAAAATACAACTAGTAAATGTGAACACAGTAATAGTACAATCACATGAAAACACTTGTTGAGAAACTACCCATTGGTAGCACTTTAATAATATATTTACATAAGTAGATCATGAGGCCATCTTCTTTTCAGACGCCTCGGAGGGCATAATAATATTAGTCAATTAACATGAGATGTTTATGTAGGAAATAATTTTTTTGCAGATTAGATGGGATTGGATTTTCTGACTATCTTTCAGTAAAATTACATTTAACAACTTAATCATTTCTTGCACTAAAGTTTTAAGCAGTGGTTGGCAAACTGGGTGTTACAAATATATGTTTGGGGTGCCATAACCATAATATTTAAATTCAATATTTGACATTAAAATTTTCAATTTGGTGGATAATCATTCCAAAAATTCACGAATTAATGATTATTAGTCACATAATTCAAAAATCATTCAAATTAAAGATTATATCCTGCCATAATTAATTAAAGGTGTCCCAGATTTGTTTTAGTCCGACAAGGATGATAGCCTAAGAAAAAAAAGGTCTGTGAACAATTATTTTAAAGGGATAAGTTTTCATAGACTCATATATTAATTTCTTCGTCTTGGGAATTATGTGGAACTTAAAAGGAAAGAATGAGTAACAAATTGCTGTGACGTTCTGTCTTTTGTTATTGGTTCAATGTCATCAACAGAATAAGATTTATTATTGGTCATTAATTGTCTATGTTTAAACTTCTCCACACTTAATATCTATAATATCTATTTTTTAGAAGTCATAACAACATTTTTCATCGTATAGTATTACTCCTAACCTCAATCCTCATTATTTTATGTTATCTCTCCTCCATCTTAAGTATTGTTACATATAAATGAAATAGTTGTGAACTCTTCTTTTCAGAATCATGATTATTGCTCTAATTTTAATTTCTATTTTGATCTATACATGTTTACTTACTTGCTACATTTTTAACTTTCAAATGTTCTGATGTTTTATTTTTTTTTTTTTTTAAGGATTTTTTAAGTAATGCTTTTGAAACTGCGACAGATAAAAATCTTACAAACAAGGCATTCAAGGGTGGTCCAGACCATGGACATCAGGTTATTAATAAACCTTTTCAAGACCTAAAAAATCTTGAGTCTTCTAAAAGTAATTTACAAAGTACAAACCGAAAACAACAAGTTGAAAAAAATAATACTCAATTCTTAGAATTATGGAAATCAAATGAAAATGATTTGTTCAGTGTTATAAATTCACCAAAAAAATCTGATCCAAGATCTAAAATAGGTAAGTAATTGACTCATGGCTGAGCATAATACACAATTAAATCTTCAAATCATATTTATCGAATATTTTATCACAGATGTATCCCGAGCAATCAGTCCTAGAGGTTTTAAAACTGAAGTATTTACAAGGTCGTCCAAAAATGTCAGATTACGGAAATTTCCCGGGCCTGCTGGACTTCTACCAGAGCGAGTATATCAGTTTCTAATATATTCATTTGATCCGATTATTTTCATATCTTTATAATAAATTATCTTAAGTCATTGTGAAAAATATTTTTGTTATTTCAGAATAGTAGTACATCATTTATAGTTCCAGACGACTTTATTTCAGACTTGGAAAAAGATAATGAAAATCTCAATGAATTTGAGGTAATTTGTTTATTTTGCATAATAATTTTTTTTTTTTAAGTAAAGTTAAAGAATTCTATATTCTAATAATTTCTTTTAGTTGTTTTTGTTAGAATAAAAATCATCTCAATTTAATACTATTACAAGTTAAGTATATATTATTAGAATTTAAGACTATCTAATGTTAAAACAAAGGTTTGTTTTAAAGACCAAATATAAGAATTTATTTATAAAAACAATATGACTAAGTGCCTTTTATCTTATGATAGAAATTAAAATTTTCATCACTGATCATAGTTTATTTATTTATATGATAATTTCACTTCCAACCAATTTGATTGAAATGTATAATTTTATTCCTCCTGTTTAGGCTATTGGCTTATATTTTGTGAAATATTTAATCATTTTTAATGTTTAACTTTAACATTGCCAAACTTCAATTTTTATTAAAATAAGTTAAATAGCTAACTGGATAACGTTTCTTCATACTCGATCGACTGATAACAATGTATATGTCAAATTTATGTTTTCAAGGTTTTTTGAGTTTAAAATATACTATAACTTATAAGAAGGAGGTCATTAACAAAGAAATTAATCAGTATCTTTTAGCCTCATGTAAGTTGTGAAAATTGAGTTAGGTGGTGTTTAAATTTACATGACAATTTTTTGTTTCAAATGTTAATTGATTCAAATTTGTCATAATATATAACACACATGCAGTTTTGTTCAAGTAAGCTTTATTTATTGAATTGTTTTGCTTTCAGGACCAAGAGGTATTTTCACAAACTACGAATAAATTGTTTGAAGAGACTGATGGCCCTTGGCAAAAAATGATTTGTGACTTAGGTCAGCTTGGAAAACACTTAATTTCGACTATCAATCTTTCTACTCTTCAGGGAAAGCAAGCAAGAAATGGTTTCAAAGTTCCGTTCCTTGCAGTTTTTGTACAATCGGTAGATTGTTCCTTGCCAGATCCATCAATTGTTCTCAAAGATGAAAAAGGTAATATTATTAATTTTAAATTTCATCAGTGATATATTGCAAATTATATTATGTTAATAAAATAATGAAAAAACCTTATTATAAGTTTTTGTTTATATTGGAATTGCTAATTATGTACTATATTTTCAGAGGAGATAAATGGAACCCTTCACAGAGATGTATGGGAAGAATGGAAGGAAGAGATAGTGAATGGTAGCGTGCTTGTGCTTCGCAATGTTGGTGTTATTAGTACTGGCAATTCTTCTAGAAGATATTTTCTTAATATAACTGCTAACAACATAGTCACAATTTACACCCCAACATTTGGTAAATTAAAATGTTCCTAATTTATATTTCCTTATGTGTATATCTTTTGTATCATTAAAGTTGTTAGTTATAAAATAGATGGAAGTAATGAGTTAATCATGTTCTATTTTTGAACTCTTGGAAAAAATAATTTAAAAAATTTTTTTTTTTTCATATTAAATTAGTAGTAATTTTGTTTTGTTAACAATGTCAAGGGAGAAGAGTGCAAGTGCCAAATTGAAGAAATTAGGATTTTTAGTGAAAACTATTTTACTACTATGGTTTCGGCAATTTATCCGTGAAAATAAACATTTCTCTCTAATCCTCGATCCAATTTAATTAAGAAAATATTATTATATTCCAGTAAAATTTCTCACATTAGGTAGCTATCCTTCTCTCAGGTTCATTTGAAGTATAAGCAACATCAGCGAAACACTTGTTTGTTTAATGTAGAAGAGCATTTGTAGTTCTCCCACTTACAAAGAGTATAGAAATATATTGCTGGTAGTACAAAAGCCATAATCTCGATATTTTTTTTTTTCGAAGTACTCAAGGGACTATAGAACTATTTTATTTTATCAACCTTTTCTACTGATTTTGATTTATTTGATAAAAAAAAAAAACGTAATAAATTTCCCATGGAAACCATTGCACTCAAGAGGCTTTCCGCAAGAATTACAAT